ATTTTCAAATTTTATTATTTATAATTATTTTTTTAATATTTTTGCATTTTAAAAAAGTAAATCAGAGCTAAATAAATGCAAAAACATAGACAAATTTGTTTGTGTTGACCTACAATCTAAGGGATAATATATATAATTCAAAAATATAATTTAAAATAATAGTCATTAAATTTAATATTATTAATAAATTTTTTAATTTATTTTATAAAATATGATATATCAGAAATGATAATACGGTCTATATATATTATTAATATTTTATTAAATAATTTAAAAATAGTATTAACTCTTTAATTTTCTAAACAAATTTTCTTGAAATACAAACTATAAAATACAATATAATAATATTAAATATACTAGTTTTAAATACACTTTAAACCTTCTTTATTTTTACTAAATGCAATTATCTTTTAAACCAAAATAAGTTTCAATAATACTAACAAAAACAAATAATTATACACTACAAACACTCTGTAAATGCATTTTTACTTTACTTAATATATTTAATCAAAATATTATAATAAAATTTCAAGTTATTAATATTTCTTTTTGGAATAGCATATGCATATTTGTCTATACGTATCCATTTACCTAGATATTTAGCAATACTCCGCTATATAAGAAATATAATCTATATTTTTGTTTTGATAATAAGTTTTGTACAAAAAAAAAAAGCAAATCTTTGTATTTGTTATATCTAGTGATCCCAATTTTTAATAAAACAAATTTCAAATATCTTCCAATTTTCACTACTAATAATTATTAGCACACCAAAGTTGATATATTTTATCACTCAATGTCGGTCCAATTTTTTTTCTACGAATAATACCATTACATGCATTCATAACCATTTTCTTTTGATCATTTTCATTGGTCAAATAATCAAACTCTTCAGCTAGCTTTCGAGGCGTTGGGTAATTCTTGATTATCTCTGCCGCCTTGTCAACACTTATTCCTCTAATAGTCATAAGCATTCTTACGAAAGTATCTTTCAATGTTAAAGGTTTGCTTTTGCTATTAAGATCTGAATATGAAGAATATGTTACAAGATAGTTGCGATCTGGGTGCAATGCAGTCAAATTCTTTTTCATGTCCAAGAAAGAGCTTCTGTAAATCATGTTATCGGGAATAGCATATAATGTAGTATTCTATAAATAATATATTTATTTAGCTATTTATCCTAAAAATTCAAATAAATAAAAATAGATTAATTTAGTAATTTACACGAACCTCATACATTCTCTTGAGCATCCTGGTCATTCTAACCAAGTAGTCGATGCTTTGATCAATTGTAGCCGTTCGTTTCAAGAAAAATCCATTTAACATTTGAGTTGATGAGATAGCTGTTTTAATTGCATCTATTCCAAACTCTACTACTTCTTCAAGATTATAATCTTCAATTAAGTAAATTATTTGACTTGCTCCAGATTTTGATAAACGAAACTAGATGAGAAAAAATTACTACATTTTACAATAACCGTTATATAACTTAATTTAATAATAAACAACGACTAACCTTTTGTTCTCTGAATCGACCATCTTTTATACTTCCAACAAGATCATCCATTCGCTTTCTTTCAATAATGTAATCTAATACAAGTTCTTCCATTGGCGATAAACCATTTTTCTTTCTTGCTACCCAAATGACATCTCCAAGTTCTAAATTTCTTCTTTATTATATACTTTTTTCCTCCTCCTTTCTTTCTCTCTTGACTTTATATATATTTATATTTTTTTATTTT